CATTTGTTGTATCAACAATGTGCACCCATTTTGTGCCCATCTCATCAATATTCTTTGTCAATAAGCTCATCTGGGTCATGAGTGTGGCCATATTCTCATGTGAATTATTTGGGTCAAGAGGAACTCGAATGCATTATGGGTGTCAGTGTTGTAGCTCTAGTCATCCACCCCGAATTTTGTGACATCTTGTCAAGAAGGATTTTGCACTCGGTGAATGTCTTACTCAATAATGCACCTCCAGCTGAAGCATCCACATTTGCTTTTAAATTGTCAGCTAGCCCCATGTAGAATCTCTGGCCGAGCATCTGGTCTGGAATGCCATGGTGAGGACACTTCACTAGCATCCCTTTAAATCTTTCCCAAGTTTCTTGCAAGGACTTAGTCGGCTGCTGCTTATACTACAATATTTCATCAATTTGTCTTGCAGTTTTGTTGGGCGGATAGAACTTATTCAGGAACTGCTTGACTAATTCCTCCCAGGTGGAAATGGAATTGATAGGGAGCGAATTTAGCCAAGTCTGAGCTTCCCCGGTCACAGAGAATGGAAACAGTAGTAGCTTGATAGCTTTCGGGGCCACATTCGGCTGCCTTTGGGTCATACAAATTGACAGAAAATTTTTCAAGTGCTGCTGCGGGTCTTCAATGTGTGACCCGGAGAACAATCCTTTATTCTGCAGTAGATGCAGCATATTGTTGGTTATCTGGAAGGACTCCGCTTGTATTGCGGGCACAGCTATGGCAGTGGCCAGGTTGTCAGCTGTGGGCTGTGCCCAGTCATAAAGTGCAGCCTCGGGCACAAGAGGTGCCACTACTCTCGCGTTGGGGTTTGCTGGCGGATCCCCAACGTTTCTAACGACGTTGTCTGCGTCACCCATGTCAAATTCGAGCAGGTGTGATTGTTGGGATTGTTGTGTTCTCTTGTTGGCACGGTTAATGCCCTGAATGTTTTCTCGGGGTCTGAGAGTCCTTCTAGCAGTTCTCCAGTCCTCGAAGAATTTCTAGGCATACACCTGTAGTCCACAAGAGCTCAAACGTTAGAATTTCAATGTAAAGATTGGGTATAGAGAAAATTGACTACACTACGAATTTTTATAGTCCTTTCAATTGTAATTGATAACACCGTTAATTCCCCGGCAACGGCGCCAAAATTTGATAGCGCCAAACTATGCCTTATAAAAAGACACACACGGACGTAGCAAATATAGTTTGAGTAATTCTGCCCAGAGTCAAACCACAGAGAATTAACCTATCAATTACTCTTGTCGGATTTATTAAATTCACACAATCAATTTTTTCCAAACTTTTTAATTCACAGTTGATGATATATCTAACAACTAAATTGAAATTAAATAAAGCTGAAAGTTAACTAAGCTTGCTTGTATATAATTGGAATAAGGTCAAAGGTAATGGTTTCCCCCGTTGTTGATTTCCTTGGTTGAATATGTTTTATAACTGAGACTTAGTTGTCTCTATCAATCATGAACGCTCCAGCTATCATAAATCTTTCTCAAGCAATTATGATAATTTACTAGACGCACTTTCTCAAGCTACGCTAGCTAGATTCACAATACGGTTCACTTAGATTGCATCCGAGGTATCGTTATCTCTAATCCAACCTCTAAACCCTCGGTTATGACTCTCGTCTATACTCCGGGAGTGATGTTGTTCATAAAATCACCTAAATGTGCACTCTCTCTCAAGCAGATACACACTAATAGGGACGGATAATTGAGGGCCCTTTCAATTAACCACAATCAAAACGTAGATGAACAAATAGAGATTAACAACCAATTCAAAACTATATTAATATAACAACCAAGTCATCCCCAACGGGTTTCACCAAAACCTTAGATTAAAGTATTTAGCTACTCATGACAATAACGAAAACAATAAAAGAATTCATAGTCATTGATAGAAGAACAATTTAGAGAGATGAGAAATTGTATTTTTCAAGTTGCCTCCTTGCCTCTCTTCCTTATTCTCCAAAAAACTCGAACTCCTTCTCTATTGGGCTTGTTGATTTATAGTTTGTGTGGATTTCCTTGGACTTATGAAATTGCCCCTTTTAAAAGTCTTTTTCCGCCACTGGACTAGCGCGGACGCGCTAAGGCCGCGCTAATGCCCGCGCTAGTGAGGTTTCATTCTGTTTTTGGGCGCTGAACTAGCGCGGGCGCGCTAAGGCCGCGCTAATGCCCGCAGTAGTGGGGTTATCCACTGGTTTGGTGCTTGTGTTCCAATTTCGTCCCTTCACTCCAATTTTCGCCCGGATCACCTTCATAAGCCCTCATTTAATTATCAACTCCTGTGAAACATCAAAGTCACCAATAGAGCCAATTTTTGCATTATTTACACACTTACAACAGTAAAACATGTTTAAGTTAGAGCCCAAGCGTAGGCCAAACTATACAACTTAGCCTATTATCAAGGATCAACTTGGAAAATTTAATGCCAAGAGTGACGAAGGAATTTTTCTGGGGTACTCTTCTCAAAGTAAAGACTACAAGGTATACAACAAGTAGACTCAGTTTGTTGAGGAGAGTATACACGTAATCTTTGACGAGTCCTATCTCTCCTGTGAGAAGAGCAAGAAGGATTATCAAGATGGAGAGCCTCTGTTGGTTCCAGGAGAAGTCATTGATATGGCAAATGGAAAGGCAGATATGATGAGTCAAGTGAAGGATACAGGTGAAGACAATGCAATCACTTCCTCATCAATCGGAGAGGAACCAAGTACTACAATTACAACCACTGAAGCTGAAGAAAGAGTGGTTGATGCAGTTCAAAGTACTCCACAGGTAGCAGAAAGAAGGATACAAGGGAACCAGTCAGGCTTACCCAGCTCCTCTACAAATGAAACTCAAGTGCCCAACTGGAAACACAAAAGCTCCCATCCTCTCGATAACATAATTACTCCTCTAGATTTAGGAGTCCAAACTAGATCAAAAGCCTGAAATTCACTTACATTCTCAGCATTTCTCTCCCAAATAGAGCCCAAAAACATTAAGGAAGCCTTAAAGGATACAGACTGGATCACTGCCATGCAAGATGAGCTGTATCAATTCGAAAGGAACAAAGTATGGCACCTGGTACCTAGACCTTCAGATCGGACCATCATAGGGACCAGGTGGGTATTCAGGAATAAGCTTGATGAACATGGAAACACTACAAGGAACAAGGCAAGGCTAGTGGTCCAAGGATACAATCAGGAGGAAGGAATTGATTATGATGAGACTTTTGCTCCGGTTGCTCGTATGGAAGCTATCAGAATCCTTATTGCCTTTGCATCACATATGGAATTCACTCTGTTCCAAATGGATGTCAAAATTGCATTTCTAAATGGTTTTCTCAAGGAAGAAGTCTATGTAAAGCAACCTCCAGGTTTTGAATGTCATGAACACCCTGAATATGTGTTCAAATTGGACAAGGCACTGTATGGGTTGAAGCAGACTCCTCTAGCTTGGTATGAGAGGTTGTCAATGTTTCTCTTAGAAAATGATTTTGCAAGAGGAAATATTGACAACACTTTATTTCCGAAGAAACGAGGGAGGAACCTGCTCATTGTTCAGGTATATGTTGACGATATCATTTTTGGGGCAACAGCTGATTCACTATGTGAGGAATTTGCAAAACTCATGGGAGTTGAGTTTGAGATGAGCATGATAGGTGAGTTTAATTTCTTCTTGGGTCTTCAAGTGAAGCAGTCCACAAAGGGAACATTCATTAGTCAGCAGAAGTATATAAAAGGCTTCTGAAGAGGTTTGACATGGAAGCATCAAATGTGATTGACACTCCCATTGCCACTGCTACTCGACTAGACATAGACGAATCTGGCTCTTCTGTGAATCAATCAATGTATAGACGCATTATTGGATCTCTCTTCTATCTTGCAATCAGGCCAGATACTGTTTTCAGTATGGGACTATGTGCAAGGTTTCAGTCAAACCCCATGGAATCTCATTTGAAGGCTGCCAAAAGAATCCTGAGATATCTTAAGGGAACACAGGACCTGGTTCTGTACTACCCTTCAGGTAAAAATTGTAATCTTATTGGGTATGTTGATGCTGATTATGCAGGCTATCTTGTGGATATGAAAAGCACATCTGGAATGGCTCACTTCTTGGGATCATGTCTTATATCATGGGGCACAAGAAAGCAAAATTTAGTAGCTATTTCAACAGCTGAAGCAGAATATGTTGCTGCAGCCTCCTGCTGTGCTCAGCTTATTTGGATCAAACAGCAGTTGGAAGACTTTGGAGTGTACACTGATTGTGTACCTCTTCTGTGTGATAACACAAGTGCACCCAACATGGCCAAAAATCCAGTATAGCACAAAAGAACCAAGCACATTGATGTGAGACATCATTTTCTCAGAGACAATGTGCAAAAGGGGCTCATCTGTATGAAGTTTTGCAGCACAGAAGACCAAATTGCATATATCTTCACCAAAGCCCTAAGCAGAGAACATTTTGAGAGAAACATGCTGGAACTGGGGATAATAAAGCCTAATTGAGAACCTGATTCCTACCATATGGCTATGAAAATCACATACAGGTAAAATTAGCTAAAGTGTTTTCCGGCCAAGTCTAACTCACTTCTATATCGTTACAAGTACACGCATGATGATTATAAAAGCTGCTGAGGCAATGCATGAGTGGTAAAAGAAGGTTGAGCATTTTTTCTTTAAAGACTGGTCAGAAACTTGGTTCTTGTGCCACAAGTTAGTAGTCTTTTGCTTTTCTCATACATATTTCAAAAGAAAACAAAAATAATGCCACATCATCAACCTTTTGAGATTCTGTATGTCACGTATTTTCATTCAAATCCTTTCACTTCCCTCTGAAACATAGCATCTTCCCACGCATCTATCGCCGTTTCAGAACCCATTTCTCTTTCCTTCATAATTGCCATTCACCTCATTATAACCCTCTCACTCCCAAAAATTGAAAGACCATCTCTATTCTCCTCAGTCTCTCCAGAACCTTCAAGCAAAATCCTCTACCATGGCTGAGGATCAAATACTCCTTCCTACCACTGAAGAGAAAAACCTCAAGTCTTTTCCTGTAGAAATAACACCAGTCATCCCTTCTTCCACCACTGTTCAAATAGAAAACCCTAAACCAGTTTCTCATTCACCTTCCATTCCCCTCTCTACTCCCTCTGACTCTACTCCTCCTCTAAGTGTTGAGAACTCAGACAACCCTAAGAATGAAAGATTTTCTCCCTTGTTGCCCGAGACACTCAAAGAACAGAGTAAAGATGACATTCCAGTTCCAGAGGAAAAGAGTAAGTCTCCATCGACAGAAAAAGCTTCATCGATCAGTCCTGAAAGTGCTATGGGTTGTAAGGAAAACTTTGATCAGTCTACAGGTACTCCTATCTATTCTGTTGTTGCTCCTATGGAACCTCAAGAGAGGGATACCATAGAAAATATATTGGCTATTGCTGCTGAGGGAATTATTGGAAAGGAAAATTCTACTATGCCTGAGTCTCAGGGGGAAGAGACTCAGTCCTTGGTGGGAGAAGAAGCAATGGTGCTTTTTGAACAACCTACACCAGGAGAGACTACTGGGACCCCTCTTGATGGACCTGCCCCTCTCCTGATGAAACAGGTCAGGAATCATCTTCCCATGTCAGTTTAGACCCTGCTCCTTCTCCTCACTTTGATGCTGAGCCCTTGGAAGTAGTGGCTCCTGTTATGAGGTCCAGTGATGAAGAAGATCAGGATGATGTTGCTCTGAGTGTTTTCATTGCCGTAAGGAGGCCTGTAGCAACTCCTGAGACCCCTCCTAAGCGACCTACCAGAAGGTTGCAGAAAAAGGAGGCTTTTGAGTCTGCCCTAAAGAAGAGTAAGAGAATTAACAGGAAGAAGAAGAAAAGGCTGGTGAAGAATGGTGAAGTTGATTGTGACAAGAATATCCCAGTTGTGGAAGTTGATGAGGAAGCCAAAGAGGAACCAAGTTCCTTGATTAGGAAGTCTCAGAAAAAGAAGCACTCTAGTGAGAGTACTTCAAAAGAGGCTGTTGGAACACCCAGTGAAAAGCCAGTAAAGGATAATGGCAATTTGAAGGAAGTTATGGTAGAAGAGTTGTAAGGCCCCGAAATTTTCGCTAAGTAATTTAAGATTTCATGGTGTCACATAGGCTAATTATAATATTTTATGTGCTATTAACATGGTGTACATCCATTGGATTTGGTAAATATGTGTATAAGTCTTACGGTAAGTAATTTGGGATCCAAGGAAAGGCCTAAGTCTAAGAAAAATTGGAAAAAGTCCATAATAGGTTAAAATTCCCAACGATCTTGCACTAGTCCCTACTTTGAACGAGCATATCTAAATATCTATAAGGTTCTAGGTGATAGATAACCTATCAAATGAAAGGTCTTAGAGTCTAGTTTCCAACGCTTCAAACCGTTCATCATTTGGACATTCCTACACAAAGTTATGATCAAATTACCAAAAGCTGGAAAAATACAATTCTGCGTGAAATCTGCGATCGCAAATTCAACTCTGCAGACCGCATAACCATTTTGCGGTCGCAGAATGAGACAGAACAGCACGAAACTGCGGCCCGCATACCCATTCTGCGGTGGATTCTACTATAGCAGACTTGACATCCGAGGGTTAATTTTCTAACTTTTATAACCTGACCCCATTTTAATATATAGGCTTTAGAGTTCATTTTGGGGTCATTTTCTACTAATTTTAGAGAGAGGTGAGAGCATTTTAGAGAGAGAAGGAGGAACCCAACATTTAAATCATCCAAATCTTGCATCAATCTTCAAGAATCAAAGAACCCAATCACAAGTTCTTCATCTAAGAGGTAAGATTCTATACCCTAGGGTTTTAATTTCGAGTTTGGAGTATAAGATGGGGTATTGAGGTATGATTATTGGGTGTAATGCTATTATGTATACATGCATGTACAACTTAGGTTTATGGGAAGATCGTTTAACATAAATAAGTAAAGATTGGGTTAGGGAATGAAGAAAATCTTGAAAAGGGGATTTGAAATCAAGATACTCAACTAGTATTTGATAAAATGCTCAAATGAGCTAGAATTATGAATATCTTCCTAATTTGTGTTCAATTTTGCTATGTCCCAAAATAGATTGAAGTTGCTAGAATTTCCGGAATATCGTAGTAATTAAGGGAAAGCTCAAGAAAGGTATGTATGGCTAAAACCCCCTTTTTTTATTAGAAATTGAGCTCCGCTGTCATTTATGAAAGCATGGTAAGAGTTGAATTGGTTAGCATATTGCTTGTTATTACGCATGAATTGATTTGCAATTATCTATACATATTCGTGAAGGATGTGCCTCAATGTGAATAATGTGCCAATCTTGACAATTAGATAATGATGAGAAGTACAGTTATGTGTTGAAATACTTGGGCTATAAGCCAACATTGAAACAAAGAATTATTCATGCTAGCTATGTGCTCATTTACCTGTGACTGCAATTTGAAGTATCCTCAATATATGTGTATATGTTCACAACTTGTAAAATGAATATTTAAAAAAAAGGGAAACGATGTGATGATGGTGGCCATGAGTGCCCCAGGAATTGTTATGTTATGTGTGGAATAAAGACTTGAAGAGTTGGCTAATGAGAATGGAGAAATGCCTCTAACGAGGTGACCTAGACGATCGGGTCGTGATCCGACACCATGCCGCACACATGGTGGTAATATGCTGATATTGGATTCCGGATAAGGGAAATGAAATATTGATTGAGAGTAATGCCTCCAATGAGGTGACCTAGCCGGTCGGGTCGTGATCGGACTCCGCTCGAGATGGCGGTGGTAATGAGAACAGTGGTGAACACGTGACAGAAATGCCCTAATCAATGTTGTGGAAATTGTATGAAAGATTATATGAATTGCTTCTTTGATTTGCCCATATTATTTGCTTGTATCTGTTTGATAGTTCTTTCTAGTAAAATGGTGTTTAGTTATACATACCAGTACAATTCAAATGTACTGACGTCCCTTTTGCCGGGGGCGCTACATTCGTGTTATGATTGTAGGTGGTTCTATAGCAGGCACTCCAGTCCACCGGCAGTAGCACCCCCTCCACTTTCCGTCAGCTGTATTAGTGAGCCCCTTTCCCCTCGGGGCCCTGCGTGGCTTATGCCGCTGTTCTTCCCGGAGTCTCATTTTTTGTATTCGTGTAGGGTATAGCCAGAGCCTTGTTGCCGGCATTTCTGTATTATTCTTCAGTTATATTTAGAGGCTCCGCAGACAGGTTGTGGGTAGTGTCGGGTATTGGCAATTAAAAGTAGAAATATTGATGTTTGGCAATGATGTATGTAACTTCTAATACCCTTAAAGTGGCGAATTGAAGTTGCTAATGTCAATGAGATGGAAATCGTTAATTATATGTTGATAGAATTTGATTAATGGAGTCTATCCCTTATTTAATTATGAGTTGGGTTGGGTAGTATGTATGAAACCTGCCAGGCTTGCTCAGTCGGGTTTACTCGGTTGAACGCCGGTCGCGCTCCTTGGATTTTGGGGCGTGACAAACATGGTATCAGAGCCTAAGGTTTTAAAGTGTCCTAGGATGTCTCGGAGCCGTGTCTGGTAGAGTCCTTCTTATCGGTGTGTTGTCGACCACATCTATAAGTTGGAGGCTATTCATACATTTAGGAATTTCACCCTTCTTTGATACTCCAATCGTGCAATAGAGCTCAAGATAGGGAGCTAATTTTCTCTCTGTCTTATTCTCAAGATTGGTAACCTTGATGCCATAATCCACGAATTTGAAGCATATAGGGAGGGATTGATCCCACCATTGAGTCCGAGTGGATTGCCCAAGGACTTATTAGGAGAATGTATTGAGATATGGATAGATTGGCATAACATATCGCTAAGAAGGGAGCGTCCTTGTCCTTATTGACATCTCTGCACCATCAGATCATGTGGTATATCAGCATGTTACCTGCGTACGTTAGAGATGTGGAGTCGAGGGGTATCGATTATGCTATTTCCCTACCAACCTAACGTCGTTAAGTGAGTCAAATCAGAATTTCTACTCATTGTATATGTACATCCATATTGAAGAGTTCTCATAAACGAGGCCTTAACAAGGTGTTGAATAACAAAACATTACGTGTATCAACTCTTTGAACGAGACACACTATTCGTGAATCTACTCTATTATGAATCTTCTTATTTACATTCTTGTGGAATTAAGTTCTATAATTATGCACTTGAATTGAGTTATAACTCTAAGATTGATACTTCCCACTTGCTTTTCCTAAATTATCACCAAGGGATTATATCCAATGAATTTCTTACAGAATCCTTTAGTTTAATTGGACAAAATCTACTCGTTTGTGCCTCTACATGCACCGTCGTAAAATTTACCTTTGTGGTGCCAAGTTCCATGCAAAGCATCCCAGCGTTGAGATCCTTCTCGAGTCACTGTTTTACTCAGTTGTGTATATGGATTATATGGTTTGAACAGTCAATCTACTCTCTTGCGAATATCATCATGAAAGCTTCTCACTGCCTAGTAACTTAAGAGTATGCCTTAATAGCTCACATGAGTGCATGTCAATCAAATGATCACCGTGTGCGTGAATATAAAGTCTCTCTAAAAATTTAGATCCTCACGTCCATGTCATGGGAAGATCACGTGTCGCCATTACTTTCGTGTCCACTTGGGACATCCCGCAGTAAGTAGCTCACATTGTCCTGGTATTGTGGTTGCTCGTGGCATGGTCGTGTATTGCAGTTAGGAGCTAATATAGCAGAAGCGTGTCCAACTTATAACAATTTTTTTTTTCTCCTCGTTACACCCCCCATAACAAGTGTTAATTGTGTTCTTTAGTTAGTGAATTCATTGTGCTAGTTTTCCCACACTTGTTCGATAACCATGAGAGAACATATCCTTCTATGAGTCATTGTAACACTTTCTGTCTCGTAAGGACCCTTACTAGGCTCTCCGACAAGACCAAGCACACCTTTGGGGGTTATTATAGCACAACGCCAGTTTCTCATGTTATTCTTTCTTTCATTAGCATCTGGGTAGTTCTCAAGTTAAAATCTATGAAGAACTCATTAAGAACATCAGCAAACCTTCCATGATTATTTCATACTATCTCATTGGGTTCCCATATTACTTCAATGTCATCAAGGGTTGTTAGCATGTCGCAATTGCTAAGATCGAATGATCTCCTCTCGATAATGGATTATCTACACATGTGCTAGTCCAACGATCTGCTCATCAGACTAACTCTCGCCTATAGGTTTTGGGTTGACCAAGGAGAAATACACCTAGTGACACATTCATATGTAAAAGCCTTTCTCTCGGTCATGCCTTATAACGTCTCCCAATATGACTCGTAACAGCTGGTTGCATAGAAGTGTGTTGTAGTGCTTCATTATGAAGTAGAGTTGCTAAATATAATTGGATTTTTGAATTCTGGAGCTATACATCGCGTGACTACATAGAGAGACCTTTCAAAAAAATGTGTAGCTTCTTATAATCGCTTTAAATTACCACCGTTCCTAGTGGTTACGATGTAAAGGTTACTTCCATAAGGCTCTTTTCCTTTCTTTTCAGTTGTCTTGCATCGTGTGTTGTGTACCCGTAATCTTCGATGCGATATTACCTCGATGTCTCGACTAGTTATCCAACGATATGATCTGATTTAATTAACCTTACTTTTATGTACTCTACAAGCGCCTTGAGAGTGGGTAAATTTCCCCTTTTCGACAGACTTCTAATGTCTTCAACACTGTTTAAGCTTGTCGATTCCAAGTGGTACTCTTAGTTGTGCTGCCTTACCATCTATTTTCATCTGATAACTCTCAGTGTAAAACTCATTTTATGTTTCATGGCATCAAAAGAGAAAGTCTTATAGCATCAAGGGTGGGGACATATTCCTTTTGTTAGAATAAATAAATAATGCTGGTACTCCTTGAAGATGCTCTTCTATCGATCATTTACCTGCTCTGCTTGTCCCTGTGACTAGAGAACCCAGGTTGCTTCTCGTCGATAAATGCATTAAGACGTCTCATTCTTCCGAACTTATCCATATGGGCACTTTGAGGTCTTGTCTTATACCAACTCGTAATGGTTTTAA